CACATTATTAAAATATGACATCAAACATCTTTAGACTCATTTGCAGCCTCAGCTTGTTGATGTCACTTTGCTGTTGATGTCACTCAGCTCTGTTTCTTTTTTGGGATCTCTCTGCTGACCATGAGAGAATCAAAGTGTCGTTTGAAAACAGCAGGTGGCTTTATGGTAGTCATTCATCTCCAGCCCCTTATCTTTTCAACTTGAAGCCCTGTAAACCACTTGCAGGCTTCCATGAAAAATTTATGATTATGCATCATTGCTCTTTTCCTACTTTGAATCTGCTAGTGGTTTTGGGAAGCTTCACACTGGAGGTTATATTCTTGTAGATCATGGCGATGAGATCACTGTATGGTATTTCAGTTCCCTGGCTCCAAAATGAATCCAATGCACAACAGACGTAGATTGAGTCGAGAGCTTTCTTGAAATCGACGAATCAGCGGTAGACAGAATCTGATATCAATTGCTTGTCTGAATCGCATGTTGCACCATTTGAAAATGATTCACAGTATATTTGATACGTAAATCCTGCTTGTTCCCTTACAGCGATCAGCTTTTCTTAAAGTCGGTTAATCACTAACCTCAAAAAGCTAATTGGCCTGTGGTCTTACAGATTGTTTTGTCTCCCATTTCAACTGCATGTTAACGTCTATATATTTTGAATGGAATGGATGCAATAGTTGCAGTGTTTGACCATAGAATTTCCTACAGTAACCATGTAATTTTGTAATTTAGGGTGGTCAGGTTTGATTTACGTGTCCTATGCGTTGACGAGGTTAAGAAGCAATTCAGAGGTAAATTAGTCAATCACATTCATTTTTTAGCCTACGGTCTTGAGTACGAAACACTTTCATCGCAACATACGGAGAGAACGTGTAAAGTTAAATATTGAAATTAAATGCGTCAAAGATTGCCTCCCAAACCAATTTTAATCTCTGCTTCGATCGCCCGAGAACCCTTGGCGGGATAGGCAAACTAATCAGTGAGTTTTAGACCTAAATCAAATAGTTAGTTGTGCTGATCGACTATCAAACCGGTGTTCACTACCGCTATACCGTAATTTTCTCTGTAGAGCATACGTTCATCGATGAGATCGTCTGCTACATGACTCTCAGCTGGACTGTTTTGGAATAATATGATTATTACGGGGTCAGAGGTGCACGGAGATTCGGCACCCGCATGTTTCTTCCCGTACAAATGCACGCCTCTGTTTTTTGCTTATTCAGTGAGGTTCGTTCGCAGTTGGCGTTATAATCAGCCAGTGACCGATGCGTGGGGGGGGGGCAGGCG